ATGAGAATGTGTAACAAGAACTGCTGAGTCTGTACAAGTGTCACTGATAATTCACCAGTAACTTTGTCACTAGTCACTTTAGCTGTTATCAGTACTACTGTATTATTACGTATCTGATAATTCTGCCTTTCATCAGTCACTTTACCTGTTGATATTATATCTGATGTTTATTCTGCTCATATTCATATTCTACGCTGCTAAAGTACAATATACACATCTGTAAATACTTCTGAACCAAGTGCAATTATAGCCCCAGAGTTTATTTTATTTTATTACTTATCTTAATTTTATAGTCTATTATCTTAAATAATAGACTTATTTGATGTGTGCAATCTGAGTGCTCTTATTTCCTGTCTCTGCTGTGATGTGCGAAACGATGACACTGATATTTCTCCACTGCGAGACGAATGAAGGTTTATTTTATCTTATCTTAATGTCTGCTTTTTCTCCCATCATTACCCTGACGCTAAAATGTGATTTATTCTAATATACAGTATATTCATTCTTAGTAACACATATCCGGAGTTTCTATTGTGAAAGTATCCACCACCAGTCATTCAATCACTCACCAGACTCATTCTAGAGATTGTTACTAACCAAAGGTCGGTTGGTAGTTTATATTCATACATTAACGGCTTATTAACCGAGCGCGAGGTCTGTGTGGAGAAATATCAGACCGCGGCCTTAATGTACAGACCGAGCCGTGGTGAGGTCTGTGTAAAAAGGCCAAGGTCTGATATTTCTCTGCACAGACCGAGCAAGTAAGGTTAATAAATGTTTTATTATATGACTCTGGTCTGTGTCTTCACCAATGCTTTTGAGATATTTGTGAAGTATGTTCATGTCCGACTTGGTTTTGTGTGATACGCGCTGCGGAAAGATTGTCATGGTAACGGTCCGAGGAAAGATATCAAATGTGATACGCACTGTTCGGCCCAATCGTCATGGTAACGGCCCGAGATGGGAAAATTTCAGACCGGTAATCAGCCAATCAGAGCGCGCGTACGGTCCAAGTCAGTTATCAGAACACAGATAGAGCTGAAGATGAAGGGTATGCATTTTTAAAGGAAGCACACAGTAGATTTTGGCTGTTGTTGCAGAAACGCCCAAATGTGTAGTGGCACCATGTTGACATAAATGCATTTGCTTCATATTAGATTAATTAGCTGCACTAATGAGTGTGTTCAGATCAGTGGGTCGGGGACAGCACAGTGGCAACAGGCAGCTCAAGTGTCGGAGGCAATAATGTGACGGAGAAGAACACACAAGCATAAGAATAAGGGACCAGCGCTCACTTTTATGAGCAGAAATCACACACAACTTGCAGAACAAACAAATAATGAAAAACAATAATGCAGTTATGTTTATTTTTACTTTTAGATTAACTAGATATGATTAGAAATGGAAACACTCCTGCACAAGTATTCATACAGATTTTCCTGAGTGAAAATTGCCTTCAAACCATTTCTTGTGATTGCTGAATGTTCATATCTTGCCCTAATGATTAAATAGTGTGTGTAATCTCCTCTCAGTGTAAGTAAAGCTCTTTTGTGAGGGCCTCAGTGCTATGGCCGAAGTGCATTGGTCCCTAAACAACATCATGAGGCCAAGGAGCACTCCAGAGAGATCAGGGATAACATTTTGAAGAAGTTTAAAGTAGTGTTGAGTTATACCAAGATTTTGAGCATCTTACAGAGCACTGGTTAATCCATTATTTAGAAATGGAAAGAGTATTGCACCACTGCAAACTTACCGAGACATGGCCGCCCACCTAAACTAACACATCAAGAGCAAGGTCAGAAAGACAACCAAGTGCCCCAAGATGACTCTGGAAGAGCTGCGAAGTACTACACCTGAGCTTGGGGAATCTGTACATGGGACAACTATCAACACAAAACTGAAATAAAGACAGTATTGAATGGGGGGCCTTCGAAATCCTGTTTGAATTTTGCTAGAAGTCACATGGGGGACAGAGCTACAATGTGGTAGTCAGATGAGACAAAAACTGAACTTTGTGGCCTAAACGCAAAATGTTATGACACAAATCTAGCACTGCTCATTGCATCAACCCCATTGTCAAATATTGTGGGCGGAGCATCATGCTATGTGGCTGCTCTTCTTCAGTGTTGCCTGGCCTGCCAAACGATATGCTTTTTCAAAGACATATAGTCTGGGAACGAGCTTGATCTCAGCGAATTCCCGGTGGGCGTGGTTGACAGACTGCATCAACCAATTAGATGCATACAGGATATGACGCAGCAACTAGCGGCACCCAAGCCGTTTCAGTAAACACAAAACAAGGGATGGCGGCATGTCAGCTAGTGCAAATGTAAACGACTGCTGTCGATTTTGTAAAAAAAACTTAAAGATACGAGGAGTTATTAGCAACTCAAAGGTGAAAGGAAGTCCCGCCTCTCGGTGCGTGATTGGACCGATGTGGGTAAAATCGTGAAATGATAGGCTAGGAAGAGGTGTCCAGACGGTTCTTCTTTTGAACAGAAAGGAGGAGTGTCTGGCAGGCCAGGCAACTTCAGTGGGGACTGGGAAGATTGTAAATACAGGAACATTTAGAAGGAAAACCTGCTAGAGTCAGCAAGATAATTAAGGCTGGGGCAAAGATTCACCTTTCAGCAGAACCAATGACCCTAAACACAAAGCTAAATGTACAATTCAAAGTCCAGTCAAAGCCCAGACCTAAATCAAATTAAACAAATTGTGGAAAGACCTGAAAACTGCTGCTCAAAAATGCGCTCCATCTAATATGACGGAGCCTGATTTGTTTTGTAAAGAGGATTGAGATAAACTTTCTGTCTGTAGATGTGCAAATCTGGTAGAGTTATACCCCAAAACACTTATTGCAGAAAAAGAGGGTTCCACAAGTATTAATGCATGCTGTATATGAGAACTTGTCTATCTTTTCCCTCAGGACCTTCCATTTACAGTCTATAGAAGCACCATACTTTGAAACAGATGTATCCTTGTAACTTCAGATGATCTTATTTTATTAGGGCAATAAAAAAGGGATGTTTGATGAAGGACTAAAAGACAGTTTGATTTGATGGACTGCAGAACAAAAAGGTCAAAATAAAAATGAAAAAAACTATGGTCATTTATGATTAGTAGTATTTCTCAAACTCTTGTCCGTCTCTGTGCAGACTGGAGCCCGAACTGAACAGTGCAATGGGTTTTTGTTGTTTAAGCCCTAAATCTGACATTGTGTGAGTCGTAATTAATTTGAGTACATGGGATGGATGTTAAATGTTGTTAATTGCTGCTCATGTGTTAAAGCTGGAGAACCTGATTTTCAATAATGTTTTAATAACCTTTTTTTTTGGCTTACGTATATTTGGAAAAATCTAAGAGAAACTACCCTTGCACAGTCAATCAGCCCAAAAAGTAATGTATTGACTCCCAAGATCATTTAAGCAAGTTAAAGCTAGGTTACTTAATTTTCCGTATGTGTTTACTTGTTGTGTGTCTAAATAAATCAGACCACAAATTGCTGCACAAATTATCTTTTGCATATTTGCAATTAAGAGCCCCGTGAGGCCTTCTTTGACCACTTGCGCTGAATTATTATTATTATTTTTTCTGAAAAAGCGGATCTAAAGTTGTAACAAAGGCAAAAAAATGTGCATGTAAAAGATAGTGCTACAATGTTTTTATTTCTGTGTTGTTTGAAAGCCATGTAGTGCGAGTGTATTAGTATGTAAGTATTACTTTTTGCTTGCCTCAAAAAATGGTTGGGTGAATCGCATTATTTGGTAGTCTTACAAATAAGTCCATGTCGGAAAACAACTGATCAGATAAATAGAGGCTAAAAGCATGAAAAGGTTAACGACGGGGCTAAACTGGAACAGCAGCTCACGTCGGCTGCTGAGGGCTTTGTTGGAGTTTGGCCGCAGCTCCACTGGCGGAGAGTCAGAAGTGCCACTGCGGAGTAAAGGTTCGGTCACCTTCATTAAAAGCTGAGTGGTCCGGCGGCTGCTGGAGTGGACACCGAACACAGGACGAGACACGTGTTCAAAGTGTTACTACAGAATTATAATTGAGCCAGGATACATTGAGTACTACACAATGGGAAAAAATGAATGAAAATCAGTTTTGCTTTGGGCTGAGGCTTCCACTAGATAAAATAACTTAATTGAAAAGTCATAATTATTATCTGGACTACTGAGACTGTAAGCACATGCAAATAGGCTATGTTTAACAGAAGAACTCCCATAGCAGTGAATTTGAAGGTTGATCGTTATTTGATGGTTAATTGTAGTTATGGAAGTATATGCGCACTTTTGGTCTAGCTAACTTTATGACATTTTAACTCATTGACTGCCAGCCGTTTTGGACGATTTCACTGATTTTCAAGACCCACAGAGTATTGTGTGCTATTACTAGGTTAAGTTTGAAACCAGAATCTGAAAAACTGGACTGTCTCCTTTTATAAGCAAAATTAAGTTGGTTTCTAGTTAGTTTTTTTCTTCTGTAATCCCCAGTCGAATAGAGGGAAGTTTGACAGAAATCATCAGTCTCAGACAAATACGTCAATGGCAGTCAATAAGTTAATCTGTCTTTATGTCTATATAATGTATTTCTATTATTTTCATAAGATTTGATTAATTTTATTATACTTACCAAAACTACCTTTTGCTCCATTTATTTGAATGTAAAATGCCAGCACGATCGAGAACCAGGTGTGTCCGTTTGTACTGTGCAGACTCAGCACAAGCGGACTCACTTGTGCTTGGTTTTTCACCAGAGAAGTGCTAGTTACCCTAGCAACACACATTGCACATCAAAACATTTGATGCGAGAGGAACAATTTCTAAAACAAGAAAATATTAGCACACTCAAAAATAGATTTCATCGGACTCAATACTTGATATAAAACATTATTCCACTATGATTTTGAGATGTTCTTTTAGAGAAATTATTTTTACAAAAGCTACTAAAGCTTTTTATGATGCCACAACTTTTTTCCCCAGTTTTTCCAAAGAAAAGCAATGGAGACAGAGAGCTGCAGGTATCCACGTTTTAGTATTTTCTATTATGATTTTATTTATATTTTTGACAACACCCAAAATAATGATAATCAATTAATCCCGGCCCATTACTATCACTTTATACTAGGGCTGTCAAAATTAGCACGTTGACGCATTGACGCAGGTACTGAATGCCGCGGACACGTGCGTGTGCGAGATGGCGACAGAGCAGGTCACTTGGAAGTCAAGCTTAAAAAGAAACAACGCGGGACTGCGGGGCACTTGCTGTTGTTTGCTGTATTTGCTAAACGGGAGTCTGAATCCTCTGTGGCCGCAGCGTTCTGACCCAGGGCACAGAGGTTCCCACCTTCAGCGGCTGTCGCTTCGGCCAATGGTGTCGTTGTAACGTCATGCGCACAGGACTGTTCTCTGCTTGTTGTGTGCGTGTCTTTGCGTAACCTGTTCATGCAATAAATACACCTCTGAAGCTGGACTACAGAGCCTCAGTCTCCTCCGTGTCTTCTCCTGAAGCGCACTCGCTAAATTAAAGCTGGGGTATCTAATTTTTCCCTTCCACTACCAGTTCATGTTGGTTGTGCCCAAAAGTAAAATGTGAGCAAATCAAACAGATTTAATGACATTCTGCTTCAGACTGTTTTGGAATGTCCCTCATCTGTAACAAACAATAGTTTTGGTCTGAGTCTACTAAAGAAAGACAGAATGCAATTTTATGTGGATTTATTGTTGCTATTATAAACAAATACAGCTCACATGTACACTATGTTGTCATCTATCTTTCCATTCAACAGAAAAATGGCATAATTTAGAAATGCGATTATACGATTAATTAATTTTTAAGCTGTAATCAACTCGAATAAAAATTGTAATCGTTTGACAGCCTACTTTATACTCTAGCCTTTTCATTCTCCTAAAAACTATGGACACTTGATTGGTTTACAAATCCCTAGTTTGTTACTTCCTGTTACTGACAATGGCAATTAAAGAATTGTGTGTCTGATTCTGATTTGGTTTTTTTTCTTGTTACATGGCTCTTTCTGGCATTGTAACTTTATTCAAAATTATGCATTGACAGCACAGTTCTTAATGCAACATTTTCCCGTCTTGGCTGCAGGGTGAGGACGTTCCCAAAGGACTCCGCGGGGCTCCTGGGCAGAGACACGGTGCGCGCTCTCATGTACTACGCCCTGAAGGTGTGGAGTGACATCGCTCCTCTAAACTTCCATGAGGTGGCAGGCAGCGACGCCGACATCCAGATCGACTTCACCAAAGCCGACCACGATGACGGATACCCCTTCGACGGACCAGGAGGCACGGTGGCCCACGCCTTCTTCCCCGGAGAGAGGTTTACAGCCGGAGACACGCACTTTGATGACGACGAGGCCTGGACCTTCAGATCACCAGGTATGGGGACACTATGTGTGTTTTTGTGCTGTGCAAATGTCAGGTAATTTTAGAGGGAAATTAAACTTTGCTCCTGATCTCACTGGTGTGCAATATCTCATTCAAGTGTTTTTGGGGTTTGTCAAGGTTGAATTTGAATGGTAGAATTAAATAGATTATGCGTCATTGTCCTTGGGTGGCAAATTGTCACGGGCACTCGGACTGAATGATATAATACCGTTTGCTGTAATACCGGTATGATTTTGGGCGATTATATGAAGCTGAAATACCGCAATAGATTTTATGTGTATGGATAATGGTTATTTTCCCTTTGGTTTAATCAAAGTAAAACTTCTGACCAGGGGAGTCACATAACCATAACAGGCAGCCCCCTGTGGATGGGCATGGTAGCCGTTTCCGTGTTTTCACCATGGGTTACCGTGCCCACTGTGACAACACTGTGAGCAAATCAGATCATTACATTAGAAAATATGGCCAAAACACTATCACCTTCTACCATGTAGAAGGCCTCGGTTTCGGGTCTCCTCTAGATCCTGTGTCGTCCCCTGTGGCTACAGGCGGCTCTCTGCTCCTGGTGCAGACGGCTCCTAGGATGACGCTTTTTCAGCTGGTTGCATCCGAACCCTGCCAAGTCTCTCATCATTGTTTTACTGTTTTACTTGTGTGTGTGTGTCAGAGAGTGTGCATGGGAGCGTGTGTGTGTGTGTGTGTGTGTGTGTGTGTGTGTGTGTGTGTGTGTGTGTGTGTGTGTGTGTGTGTGTGTGTGTGTGTGTGTGTGTGTGTGTGTGTGTGTGTGTGTGTGTGTGTGTGTGTGTGTGTGTCAGAGAGTGTGCATGGGAGCGTGTGTGTGTGTGTGTGTGTGTCAGAGAGTGTGCATGGAGCGTGTGTGTGTTTGTCTGTGGTTTGGGATGGGTCTGTTGGGTGGTCGGGGGGAGGGGACATGGGCCGGCAGGATTGTTTTTAACCAAACTGTAAAGCACTTTGTGTTGCATCTTTTGTATGAAAAGCGCTTTATAAATAACATTTGATTTGATTTGATTTTGATTTGATTTGATTTGATTTGATGTGAAAACTTGCGAGAAATCCAAACTGTTTTATCAGATTGGAGACTGTTTTGAATCTTTTAAAGTTGTGCAGTATTCTCCCTATTCTATTTGTTTTGTTATTTTGATATTTCCATTTCATATTGTGATATCATTTGTTGGCCACATTGCTCAGCCCTATTGAACAAAGTGCTGCACAATTTTTCACAACAAAAAACACAGGACATGGTGAAACAAGTGCGAAGGCGAGGGGTTTTAGAACAACGCAAATGCAGCCATGCAATTGTGAAGAATATAATTTCACTTGAGATTCTTTGACCAATACTTTTGTTTTAAAAGCCAGGAAACAACTCTAAGCCCAATGTCTCAGCGGCACAATAATATTACAGGCCTGAGGCAGGAACCTTTAGGAGTTCAATTCAATTCAATTTATTTTTGTAAAGTTGTTCATTTGTCAACACAGATCAGATAATAAAACAACTTTAACACAGAAAATGCTATAATAACAAACATGTTGGAGCCGTTGGTCCATAAGGGGTGAATGACCAATGTTCATAAATAGAAATAAAAAGTGACATGCTTGTGCTTGATAGAAGTTCTTGATATTAGCGTGAATGGATCTGAAAACATCGCCAGGTCAGCTGATGAGTGTACAATGTTGTGACATAATTATAGATTTAAAAGATGAATATTGTATTTCCTAAAGGTCCATCATCAACTTGAAATGGTTCAATTCACTTGTTTTTTAATGATAACTTCCCTCACCAGTGCCTCTCCTACGCTCATCTCACTCTCATTGCACCGCTTCATAAAACCAAAGAAAATCTTTTCGTAGATCATTCTGGGCTCATTCAGCTTGTGTACCTTCAGTGGAGGTCACATTTGTCCATTTACCATTTCTCATTTCTCTCAGCACTTGACATCTTGTACATTTAAGAAAGAAATGTTAAGTGTCCTCCATTTTCAAAAGTCTATTAAATACAGAGGGGGCGACAGTAGCTCAGTTGGTAGAGCACTGGACTTACACTAACTTCCTGTACTTGTAACTTTAGACAAAAGGTCAAAGAAGAATGTCACCAATTGAACAGTGGCTTGTATGTCAGACAAGGACATGCTCCCAACAAATTAGGTCCACTCTTGGTAAATATTTCCCCTTGAGAATGTCTAACCCTGTCAGCTCGTAGACGCTAACTAAGATCTGACCCTGACTCTAACCCTGCCAGGTATGTGGGGAGCAGTTGATTAAATACTGTCCTGGTGAGATCAGTGCCTGTTGTTGTGTCCACCATAGGTCATGCTAAGTCTGTGAAATAAACAAGCTCCATTAGCAGTATACGTTTTCACAGTTTGTCATGTACAGTAAGTCATGTATTTCTCTAGTCTGTACAGTACAGTATCATCTGAACCTGTGAGCTTTGCAGCAGACCAAAGTGTTCCAGATTGTATGATTAATATTTTATTTGCCAGAACAATGGAAGCGCATAGAGTGGGGCGGTGATTGCTGTCCTGGGCCGATACACAGGCAGGAAAGCTTTTGTTGTAATTTAATATCTCCGCCTTTGAGCCACACTAAGACTATTGCTGGAATCGAATGTATTGTTATCACCAGTAATTTGTTATGGTTTCATTGATTGTCCCCTAGGGAAATTTGGCAATCCAATGCCTCTAGGGCAATCTGTCAGCAGCAGTGATCACTACAGTACACCTCCAGATGTTGTTCAGGACTACATTTGAAGATTAATGATATACAGTAGATAGGGGAAACCGCAACACCCTGAGGAAACGCACACAGACATGGGGAGATTGACTTTTCATATCATGCGGCAGCCCTACCGGATTCTGTTTGGCTTCAGAGTAATACAGGAGTTAGCCAGGCGAAATTGTCCTTCGTAAGAGGGTGTGGTGGGTGAGTACTGTAGAAGAAGCCACAGATATAGCCATAAAGATCTTGGACAAGAGCCAGTCTCAAAGGCCAATACATCCACAGCTCCCCTGTAGTGTGTTTTCTTTGGCTAGTGGGAGTATCTGAGGATATTCTACAGTCCCCTACAGTAAGAACACACCATAGCCATAGCAGCTTATACATATTTTATTGTTAAAGCTTATTGCATCATTCATAGAATCCTTTTTATTTAGTTTCATTTCTATTCAATTCTCAGTAGACTACCCTCATACACTGTATGTATGGATTGGTGTGCAAATGTTGAACTATTGTTCTTTTAAAAAATATATTATTGTGTAAGTTGTAGTTGTAGTGTGATGTGCTGATAATGCTGAGGTGTGTGATGTGATATAAGAAATCACAATGAGTTTTTTTTCACACCACATTATCACTTTTAAAACCATAGTTTGTAGTTTGAAACAAAATAGTGTTGTCTAGCCAAACAAGTTCATGCAAAAATACATAGTATGTATATAGTATCGTATAGTGCATACGGAAAGTATTCACAGCGCTTCACTTTTTCCACATTTTGTTATGTTACAGCTTTTCCTCACAATTCTACACACAACACCCCATAAGGGGATTCTTGCAAATTTATAAACAAAACAAAAAAAAACTAAGAAACCACATGTACAGTACTTAAGTGTTCACAGCCTTTGCTTAGTACTTTGTTGATGCACCTGTGGCAGCAATTACAGCCTCAAGTCTTTTTGGATATGATGCCACAAGCTTGGCACACCTGTCTTTATGCAGTTTTGCCCATTCCTCTTTGCAGCACCTCTCAAGCTCCATCAAGTTGGATGGGGAGTGTCGGTGTACAGCCATTTTCAGATCTTTCCAGAGATGTTCAATTGGATTCAAGTCTGGGCTCTGGCTGGGCCACGCAAGGACATTCACAGAGTTGTCCTGAAGCCACTTCTTTGTTATCTTGGCTGTGTGCTTAGGGTCGTTGTCCTGCTGAGAGATGAACCGTCGCCCCAGTCTGAGGTCAAGAGCGCTCTGGATCAGGTTTTCATCCAGGATGTGTCTGTACATTGCTGCATTCATCTTTCCCTCTATCTTGACTAGTCTCCCAGTTCCTGCCGCTGAAAAACATCCCCACAGCATGATGCTACCACCACCATGCTTCACTGTAGGGATGGTATTGGCTTGGTGATGAGCAGTGCCTGGTTTCCTCCAAACATGACGCCTGGCATTCACGCCAAAGAGTTCAATCTTTGTCTCATCAGACCAGAGAATTGTTTTACTCATGGTCAGAGTCCTTCAGGTGCCTTTTGGCAAACTCCAAACTGAGGAGGGGCTTCCGTCTGGCCACTCTACCATACAGGCCTGATTTGTGGATTGCTGCAGAGATGGTTGTCCTTCTGGAAGGTTCTCCTCTCTCCACAGAGGAACGCTGGAGCTCTGACAAAGTGACCATGGGGTTCTTAGTCACATCCCTGACTAAGGCCCTTCTCCCCCGATCGCTCAATTTAGATGGCCGGCCAGCTCTAGGAAGAGAACTGGTGGTTCCGAACTTCTTCCATTTACGGATGGTGGAGGTCACTGTGCTCAGTGGGACCTTCAAAGCAGCAGAAATGTTTCTATACCCTTCCCCAGACGTGTGCCTCAAGACAATCCTGTTTCGGTCTACAGACAATTCCTTTGACTTCATGCTCTGACATCAATCAATCAATCAATCAAATTTTATTTATAAAGCGCTTTTCATACATAAGATGCAACACAAAGTGCTTTACAGTTTGGTTAAAAACAATCCCGCCGACCCAAGACCCCTCCCCCAGACCACCCAACAGACCCACCCCAAACCACAGACAAACACACACACACGCGCTCATGAACACTCATACACACACACACACACACACCAGTAAAACAATAAAAACATGATGAGAGACTTGGCAGGGTTCAGATGCAACCAGCTGAAAAAGCGTCATCCAAGGAGCCGTCATGCACTGTCAACTGTGGGACCTTATACACAGGTGTGTATGTTTCCAAATCTAGTCAAATCAACTGAATGTAACACAGGTGGACTCCAATGAAGCAGTAGAAGCATCTCAAGGAT